TTTTAGTTACCTTTTGTCTTTCCGGAGCTTGGTTGGCGTGTCGTTTTGAAAAGCAGGAGTGACTGGTTTGAGTGAGATAGGCACTGAAGATGGCATCAAAGGCACTGTCCTTATTGGACGACCGCTGAAAGATGAACGAAACGACTGATCCATAGCACTGAGAGACTGAGATGATTTGTTAGAACGAGAAGATGGAGATTGCTCCACTTGGTTGCTGCTTGTCTGAGTCTGAGATTGATGACCACTCGGTTCTGAAGAATCCTCACCTAATGAGGATCGGCTTCCTGAAGTCGGAAGTCCTGTCTGTGGAGTAGCTTGTTCCCTTGTACGAATTGACTAATGGACAAAATCCAAACCAAATGTCAGCAACAAAACAAGTTCCATTGTGAGAACAAAGGAAAAGCAGAGTAGATATAGTTACCACAGGAGTGCGAGGTCTCATTGAGCGTCCACCAGCAAGTCCAATGCTGGGCATGACACTAGTATACGGCTCATCATTATCACCATCATTGTCTGGTGGCTGAGATATTGCTTGTGGATGTCTCAATGGAGGGGTTTTGGTTTGTAGCTTAGCACACAAAATGAAAGGTTAAGCTTAAGGAAGCAAAAACCTAGAAAGAACAAACAAGGTTAAGTTTACCAGAGGAGAGCGTGAACGTGTTGATCTTCCACCAGCAAGTCCAACACTTGGAATACCGCTTGTATAAGCATTTGTACTTTCATCATCTTCGTTTTCCTCATCAGCTGCAATGTTAACTGCCATCACCGGACGCACTTGTGGCTGTGTTTTGTTCTGCGCTTTCCAAATTTAAACATGTTTATCTAAACGTTTAAATACAAGACCAAGACATGAAAATAACAAGTTCCAAATATACCATAGAAGACTGTGGCCGCATTGCTCTACTACTTCCAAGACCAATACTTGGTCTGCCAATTGTATAATCTACCGAAACAACATCGTCGTCGTCTTCATTCTTACTTTCTTCACTGGCTGCTGGTTGTGTACGTCTCGGAGGTGCAATTTTAGTCTGCACGCACCAAAAAGGAAATTTAGTATATGAGAGTTACGTTGAAGCTCACCAAGCTAAATGAAAGAAAGCTCACCATCACAGGAGACTGAGGTCTTATTGCTCTTCCACCAGCAAGTCCAATACTTGGTCTGCTGCTACTCGATATATCCACTGAAAAGTCATCATCTTCATTGTCCTCATCAGCTAACGATGGAGTTGCCATATGTGGACGCCTTGCAATAGGGTTCTTAATCTGTCATATTCAAGAAATCTCAATATCAACCTTTGAGTTTCAGTGGAAAAAAAATAGAGTGTTTTTGTTAGTTTGTATTACCAGTGGAGAGCGAGAAGGATGAGATCTTCCGGCAGCGAGACCAATGCTCCCTGTTCGTGGAGCGCTGTAGTCAATGGAAAGGTCTTCATCACTGTCTTCCTCGTCTCCTGTTTGGTTTGACATGACAGCCGCGAGTCTCTGAGCGGCTGCTTTCGTCTGAGCCTTCTTGGCATTCGAAGATGCCCCAGAATTCGATCCTGACCGTACATGCCGATTCATCAGTGGAGACGTCATCATCGGCGATGATGGATCCGAACTTGTATTCCTCACATGAACAGGCCTCGTGTTTCTCATTTCCTTCAACTGCCAAAAAAAAAAAAAAAAAAACACGAGGATTTGATTATAACTACAATCACATCAACGGCGCGTGATCGAAAAACTTACCAATTATAGCAGAGATCTCTGTTCCTTAAAAACCCATCTCGAAATTAATTTTTGGAAATCACAGCGAGTGAAATCCAGAGAATTCGAAAATCAAAATCTGGGCAGGATTGATTCTTAGAAATTAGATCCAGAGGAAATCTCCAGGAAAAAATCGATCGAGAAATCGAAGAGAAAAAAAAAATCGTCAATTATGGGCGCGAATATTTCGCTCAAAACGATCCGGTCGTTTAGCCAGAAATGGCGAGAGGGATTTTAACGGTCGGATTGAGAGAGGTTTCTTCATTTTTACTTATTTATACTTTCACCCCCAGTAGTTTACTGTATTTATCGATTAAGTACTTTTATTTGTTAATTTATACTTTCCCTCCCAGTATTGTATTATATTAGCGATAGTACCCTTTAACTTTTGTGTAATTACTAATGTATGGATTTGGTCGTTAGAGAGCGAGATATACGATCATCAATCATCATCATACGCATTCTAAATATCACAACAATCATCAAAAATCTGGAATTGAGGTCCTTTTTCTGGGATTAGGAATTGATTTCTACTCTTTGCGATAGCTCTACCTGGTTTCTGATTCGTTTCAATTCGAGGGAAATGCGAGTTCTCGGCGAGATTGCGGAGTCGCCTTTCATAATTTCACGGCTAAGCCCTAATTCGACGGCCACCGGGGGGTTTATCGGCGGATGGGTCGGGAAGTGCCATGGGTTTCTGCACAACACGGTGCTGGTTGTAGCCGCAATTCTATTCGTCGCTTACTTAGCGTATGAGGCGAAGAAGAGCTTGTCGAAGCTGTCGAATCGGAGATCTTACATAATGATCGCTTATTACGGTTGTCTTTGGCTTGTTAGCTTGCTCAATCTTGCTTGGTGTTGCCTTCAGGTTTGTTATCTTCTCCGATTCATTTCCCCAAGTTTATATCATACTATGCTCTAGAGTTATGTTCCCTGCTAAGAAAATATCACAACTTTCATTGAAGAAACAAGCTTCTTAGGGGCATTTTAATCCTTTAACGTGGTTGTTCTTCTACACTGTTGACTAGAAATAAAGCTTCCGAATTTTGTTGTAAGCTATGATTGTTGATATATATTGGTTCTGCATAGAGGATCAAATGTTTTATCTGGCTCAGTCGTGTTCTTTACTTATTCAAAATTTAGGCTTTGTTCAATGAGGATCCTAAATTACTTTGCTTGTGTTTAGGCATGGGAATGCACTCCTGGGAAAGAAGTGATTTGGAATTTGTTGACTTTGTTCACAACATCTGGAATGTTGTTTCTGGAAGTTAGCTTGGTAGCTTTTCTTTTCCAAGGAAACTATGCAAGTGGCGCTGAAGCATTAACACGGACATTCCTCATCTCAGGGCTTGTTATAGGTCTTGATTTGCTTCTCAAGGTATCATCGTGTTCATAACTGTTACATATCCACTCATATAATTTCTGAAAGATGAATAGATAGACTTCATTGAGGTATATGTATGCCTGATCTTAGTTCTGCAAAACTTTCAGATCATGTCTCTACTAGAGTAGATATAAGCAATCATGAACTGTCTGGAGACTCTTTTTGCCTTTCACTTTAATCCTTATTCTCGTTTCAGGCAGTTTATCTCTTTGGATTTGGGGTACAGTTGTTTATCGACAACAATGAACATATACAAAAGTTCAAATGGGGCTTATGGGTCATCCACAAGGTGTTGCTCGCTGGCATTTATGGGATGATATTCTTCATGTATAACTCTAAGTGGAGAGAAAGATTACCAGGTAAAAACGACAGACAGACCACTCTCGTCCTCCTTATGATTTCTTCACTGGCTTCTGTTAGTCATCCCATTTTTTCGTTTTCGTTTTAACAGCAAGACCTGCTTTCTACAAGTACATAACCGTCATGCTCGCCTTAAACGGACTCTCCTTATTCGCATGTGCTCTTGCAGCAAACGGTGCTCATTTTGGATTATGGTAAACCCTTATCTTAAAAGCCTAAGAGTGACTCTGTTTTGGCCAGATTTCGCTTGTTTCTTGATGCAAGTTGTAAAATTTACCGCAGGTTGTATGGAATCACGAGTGTTTGTTACCACGCCTTCTATCTTCCTCTTCTGTATGTTACTTTTCTTGCTGACTTTTTCCAGGTAAATCCCTCACCTAAGCGTTTGATTAGTTAGATGATTATCTTATGGTTTAGTGCTGAAATTCACTTGGGTTTGGTGCAGGAGGAAGATCTGAACTTGGAGAATGTGTACTATTCCGAGATGAAAGATGCTGGATTCTTCGACGCCGATTGGGAATAATGAAGGTCTTTCTCTGTCTGTAGATACAAAGGTGAATAGGATTATCAAGCTATTGTAACTTCTTTTTAGGTCTACTCTTGACACTATGTACTAATACTTACACCAAAGACTATGGAGACTCCATGTACATACTTTTGCGTCTTGTATGCATTTGCCTGATTCGCATTTTGGCATTTGGATCTTAAAAAATGAAAAAAGAAACACTTCTTGTGAATGATATGTATTTTAAAATTTCTGGAGCCAAACAGAAGTCATGAATTCAGATACTACACCATTGGGACAAAGACATACTCGCTTGACACATTAAAGAAAAGGACAGAAATGTGAAACATAATTGAGAACACAAACACAAAGCGTTGCTGTTTTTTTTTTTTTCATGCTGAGTAAATTATAAAAGAGATACTAAATCACTTCTTCTCTTCCATGAGCTCTTCAATGAGTTCGGCAGCTTCCTCCACCGTTGAGATCTTCTGTGCTTTCTCTTCCGCCATTGTGATATCGAACGCTTCCTCTAGAGCCATCACTATCTCAACCTGCACAAACACACAAGGGTATTCAGTATTAAAACACTTCAAGTTGTGTTAATTACAGAAGATAAATAAGGATTAAGGAGTACTGTGTCAAGAGAATCTGCTCCAAGATCGGAAAATTTGGTTTCTGCAACGACTTTTTTATCGTCAGTAAGTGATAGTTGCTTCTTCACTATCACTGACACTTTCTCTACTGTCGCTGGTTTGGCCTATATACCCAAATCAACAAACAAGTCTTGTCATTTAGAACGCATAGTTTCATATTAATAAACACCGAACAAATGCGCTGCGATCAACAAGAAACATTACCGCGCAAGAAACTGAGAGGCGAGTGGGGATTGAACGGCCTAGGCTGAAGGAGAGATTGGTCTTTCCATGGCTGGAAACCAAAGCCGGCTTTTGGAAACTGATCTTTGTTGTTGCCTGTTGTTCATCAATAACAAACATTTTCATTCAAATCACTACTCATGACTTTGGTTCTGCAAAGTTTTCATAGCTTTTTAAGCTTATAATAATCATAGACTTAAATGACACAAGTTTGTTTCTGTACATATAAATCCAATTGTACTGATCACAAACGAAAAAGAAGGAAATTTCAAACTATCGATTCATTCTATCGATTAGAGACAATAAATAAAACTATCGATTCGTTCTTCTATTTTTCCACATGCGTCAAAAGTTTAACAAACAGCAGATGATCTAAAATCGGAGGCAAATGATCTAAAACCGTAGGGATCAAAGCGATCTGGAAAGAAAAAGTTCCAGTTGTTGAAAGATTTACCAGAGAAGTAGCTTGCATGGAGACCAACGCCCTGAAAGTGGTCGCCATTGTCGGTATTCACAAGAGATCTGCTCGAGAGAGAAGGAGAAATGGCGGAGTGTACAAAGAGCGTGATGACCTAAGGTAGATCTTTGCATTAATAAGCTTACTACAGTCCAAACGACGTCGTCACTCTCACGATATGGGCCTCGTTGGGCCTTTTCCAATACTATGCAATTATTCAGATTTTCAGCCCATCCGCATTCCTGCACGTGCGACTCTATTATTATCACGTGCCAAATTGATCGGATTATATACACACACTAATGAATGAATTACGTTTACGTGATTACTTTTGCGGTAATCCAACTCAGTTCGATTAAATTATCAAACACAAAATGAGTGAGAGTGATTAACTGATTACACATAACGCATCTTAAATTTCATTGCCAATCATTTTAATCGAAGACCGGTCCTAACGAGAAAAACATACCGGACGATTTCAAACCCGTGGTTTTGTCACAACTACCCATCTCAAATTTATTAGAAAGGTCTCTTTTCGGTTGGCCAAGATTGAACCAAACAGTACCACACCTAAAAAATCAGATCTTTTAGTAGAAAAAGACAAAGTCAAATTCGTAAATCCTAACCGACAACAACAAACCCATGACTCAAAAGTAAGAAAGCATACACAAAACGTGTAGTTTCAATACAACCAAACAAACAAAGACTAATTAGTATACATAAACCCCACACACACGTTCCTCAAAATGAAAGAAGCCTCTTCATCCACTGAATAATAAACAATACTCATAATAATAGATATTTATAAAACTATCAAAAAAAGAACCAGAGAATGCCTTTACATCACCGATAGTGAGTGTGACTGACCACAAGTGGTGTGTTTTACTTACACTTATGTTTAGAGAATAAGTGAGAAAAATAACAGAATTTATGGAGATAATATGAATGAATGAATAATGAAAGAGGCCATGGAGATTTGCTCGCCAAATGATAAAGATTGATGCGCAAGGAAGAGATACCCACTAGATATTCTTCTTAATTGATACCGAAAGAGATATGGATTGATTCTATATTTATTTTTGTGTTTATCTAAACCGAAAGTCTAACTCAATTTTTCTAGAAGAATTATTTATGACACTATACAATTTTGTTTGAAGATTATTAACAAAGAAACTTGGTTGAAAAAGAATAGCATATGTTGTGGGTTAAAGTTCACATTCACCAAGAATCAAGCTATTGTAACTTCTTTTAGGCCTACTCTTGACACTATGTGTTAATACTTAATACCAACGACTATGGAGACTACAAAACTCTTGTATGCATTTGCCAAATTCGCATTTTGGAATTTCGATCTTAACAAGAAAAAAATAGGCATCTCTTGTGAATGGTATTTATTATTTTAAAATTTCGGGACCAAAACAGAAGTTCGTGGATTCAGGTAAGACAAAGACAGACTCGACACATTAAAGAAAAGGACAGAAATGTGAAACTTAATTACTAAAACAAACTCATAGCTCTGCTGTTTTTTTGTTCTTCCTGAGTAAATTATAAAAAGATACTAAATCACTTGGTCTCTTTCATGAGCTCTTCAATGAGCTCAGCAGCTTGCTCCACCGTTGCGATCTTCTGTGCTCTCTCTTCCGCCATTTGGATACCGAACTCTTCCTCTAGACCCATCACTATCTCAACCTGCACAAAACATACAACTCCTGTTAATTACTACTTTTTAGTTCCAAATTACATAATAAGAGAAATAAGGATTAAATGAGTACCGTGTCAAGAGAATCTGCTCCAAGATCGGTAAACTTGGTTTCCGCAACGACTTTTTGATCATCTTTAAGTGATAGTTGCTTCTTCACTATCATTGACACTTTCTGTACTGTCTCTGGTTTGGCCTATACACCCAAATTAATAAACAAGTCTTGTCATTTAGAAGGCAAACATTATAATATTAATTAATAAACGTGATCAACAAGAAACATTAATTACCGCGCAAGAAACTGAGAGGCGAGTGGGGATTGAACGGCCTAGGCTAAAAGAGAGATTAGTCTTTCCATGGCTGGGAACCAAAACCGGCTTTTGGAAACTGATCCTTGTTGTTGCCTGTTGTTCACCAATAACAAACATTTTCATTCAAATCATTACTCATGACTTTGGTTCTGTAACGTTTCATAGCTTTTTAACCGTATAATAATCACAGCCTTAAATGACACAAATTTGTTTCTGTAAATATAAATTCAATTGTACTGATCACAAACGAAAAAGAAGGAAGTTTGAAATGAATTCATTCTTCATTCTTCTATTCTCACGAACTCAGGAGAAAATGTAAAACCATCGATTCATTCTTCTAATTTCACGTAATTAACATGCGTTAAGAAGTTTTACGCGGTAACAAACAGCAAAAAATCAGAATCGGAGGCAAATGATCTAAAATCTTAGGGATCAAAGCGATCTCGGAAACAAAAGTTCCAATTGTTGAAAGATTTACCAGAGAAGTAGCTTGCATGGAGACCAACGCGCTGAAAGTGGTCGCCATTGTCGCTATTCACGAGAGATCTGCTCGAGAGAGATGGAGAGATGGCGGAGTGTACAAAGAGCGTGATGTCCTAAGGTAGCTCTTTCCATTTATAAGCTTCGTACACTCCGAACGACGTCGTCACTCTCACAACATGGGCCTCTTCCCCTACTATTCAAATATTCAGCCCATCGGCATTCCTGCACGTGCGACTCTATTATATTATCACGCGCCAAATTAATCGGATTAAATACACCAATGAATTACATGATTCCTTTTGAGTTAAGACTGATTACACATTTTAATACCAGTCACTAATCGGTTATCTAATCCAACTCTGTTCGATTAATTTATCAAACACAAAATGACTTAAGACTGATTGCGCATTTTAATACCAGTCATTAATCGAAGACCGGTCCTAGTCCTAGCCAAACATAGGCGATTTTAAACCCGTGGGCCAGAGTGACTCAGTAGTGAAAGCACACATAAATACGTATAGTTTTGTCGCAACTACCCCATCTCAAATTTATTAGACCGGTCTCTATTTGGTTGGCCAAGATTGAACCAAACAGACAGTACCACACCTAACAAATCACATCTTAGTAGAAAGAGACAAGTTCGTAATACTAACCAACATCAACAAACCCATGACTCAAAGTTAGAAAGCATACACAAAACGTGTAGTAGTTTCGTTACAACCAAACAAACAAAGACTCATTACTATACAAAAACCCACACACACGTGACACGTCCTCAAAATGAAAGACATCCACCGAATAATAAAACAGTACTAATAGAGATTTATAAAACTACACAAAATAAAGATTTGAAAGAACAACAAAAAAAAGCCTTTACATCACCGGAGAGAAAGAAGAAGAAGTGATATTTTGTTTTCTGATAAGTTTCTACAATCTTTCTCAAGGTTTACTAAGATCGTGGGAGCTTCTCTCTGTCGGAGAACCAGGGACAAAGGGAACGAAACCTCGACCACCAAAGACAGGACGCATGAAGGCATCATCGAACTGTCTCCAGTAATGGTGTACGGTGCGCGTGGGACGCATGAGGAAACCACGAATGCTGTCTGGCCGTGGCACGTCGTGGTGGTTACCAGAGAGCTCGACGAATGAATCTTGCTGTTCGCCATCTAGGAGCGGAATGTGGATTGATTTCGGAGTGTTATCGTCGGATAACATGCTCGTGGTCGCTTTTTGATGTGGCATTAGGTGTCTTATCAGCGGTTTCGTCAGCATACCGAACACCTGAAAACCCCCGAAACAAAAATAATTCAATTCTCAAAGAGCTTTAAGCTCTGGTTTTGAGTTGGTTTAGGTTTTTTCGGAAATGGAAAATGCAAATACGTTTAAGCATATTCGGTTTATCTGGATGAAATGCTGAGAAGGAAAAATGTCTTACGACGGTGCTAAAAAGACAAACGGTTATAGTACTGGTAATCATGATTGCATTCCCGCGCAATTCAGTGTGCCCTGATCTTGTAAACTGCGTTACCGAAATTAACAAGTTAAGAGATCTGTTAGATATTCACCAATCATCATGAAGCTGTTTACAATTCTCCATTACCTTGTTGTAGGCAAGAGCCATAGATACAGCACCTCTCATCATTCCAGCCCACCAAATCACAAACTGTAGACGAAGCCAAAGAGTATATGTTATGATAAACAAGCATTCAACAATTCCACAGAAAAATTGAATATGATATAGACAAGAGTGGATTGTACGTACTTGCTGCTTGATATCGATTTTCTCGCTCTGGGTTTTCTTGGATAAATTTGATAAGAAGGAAAGAGGAAACACAAAAGCTGCTCTTCCAACCATGACTAGACCCATCAGAATTGAGCTCACTGCAACCGATGTCCCCGGGCTGTTCATTACCCAAACATTCAGATAACAAGTATACAGCCAACGAACAAAGAAACATGAAAAGAGAAAAGAAGAGAGTTTATTGTTCTCTGTTCTACTGAGTAATCGTACCTGTCACTCACGAATCTCCACTTCTCGATGTCCAATGCATCCATTCCCACGTAAAGGAAGATAAAAATCTCAGCAAGAAACGACAGAGTAGCAAAGGAATGCCTGTATCATCGTAAATTCATAGAGAGTAAGTATTGAGGATGTAAAAGTTTGTTGGTCAAGTAAATGATGGAGAAACTGGAGATTGTATTACCTTGTAGTTGTTCTTGAGCTCTCGGTTACGTTGTGCCAAGGTGTAATGGGACATCACAATCCCGCAGAAAAATACTGTGAGAATACCACTCAAGGCGAATAGCTACAACCCAAACAAAATAACATCAATAAACTGAATGTTTCCATGCTTAAATAGCAAGTTTTCACAGAATCTAACCTCAGCAAACATGTATGATTGATATGCCATAAGCATCATGAGGGCAACCTCTCGATCAGTCGAGTGCCTGAGCCACATTTTAGATCGCATCACAGACAGGCTTATAGAAAGTCACATATGCATTCCAAAGTCAGTTACGTACCTTCCAAAATAAAACTTCTTGATATAATAAGCACTAACGAGACCAGTCTGCAAGATGAATAAACAAAACAAAACAATATTGTATTTGCGGATGGTAATAGAAGAGAGTGTAAGTAGCCAGAAGAGAGAGTGATAGCAAAAATAAATTGGACTTACTACTGCACCAAGCAAGGTGCTCAAGATAAACAGATACAAGAAGCTTCCAAGTAAATTAAAAGCTGCTTCAGGGTTAAGGTGGGTGAGGTCCAACTTCTGAATTGCATTGAAGAGCACAACTGATGTCGCATCGTTTACAATGCCCTCTCCAAATACGAGACTGTAAAGAAAAGGTGTCTCATCTTGATTGAGAACCTGTTTCGTGTTTCTCATGTTCAGTTCAGTTTTAGACCTGTGACTACTTCTGATACTTAGACTCTTAGAGAAACACATTACCTGCAGTGTGCATACAGAGTCTGTTGCAGCAAATATGACGCCGATTGCTGAGAAATAAACACAAAACAAATCAAGTCTTCAAGAGCAAAACCGAGAAAGCATAGCAAAAGGAACAAGAGGAAAACTAGTTGATGCATTACCAAGATAATCGCCCAAGTCAAAGGTCCCAATGTCTAATTTCTTAAAGAAGTGAATTGCACCTGTTTCAAACATCACACAAATATTATAAATCTAATATAAGCCTTCAACAGATTCAATCCAAAGGAGTGAGAAGTAAGATACCTAGTGATATTATAGAGGAAGAAATCACAGTCCCAATGGCGCCAAAAATCATAATAGTCACAAAATTGCGGAAAAATTGCTTCTTTTTAACTTGAAACCTACAGGCAACGACAGTAAAACTGTGAAAACAGTATCAACAAAAAAAAACTGGACCTTTGTGCATTTACGGCAAAGACATAGCAGGACCACCTAAATTACAGGTAGATAAATGAAATTAATATTGACCCACAAACATTAAACCCTGGTCCTATTCTGCAGTCACAATCACAAATACTTTCCCAAAGCTACTATATGAAAGCATATTCAGGGAATCAGCAATAATGCATAATTTTAAGTAATTTGTATAACGTCCTTCAGTAAGATCTTTGATAAACACCGGATAATTTTTTACTGCATTTCCTTTGATACTGTATGTGGAAACTTACCCTGCATTGAAAATTATGGGTGGCAAAAGATATATAAAGAAAAGATCTTCTTTGAAGACGAGCAGATGTGAGTTTGTCCCTCGGGTAAGGAACAAAATGACGACACCAGTGCCAAACCCCTGCAACCAAAATTGCTAAGAAAGTCAATAAAGATGAAACATTGGAGGATATGATTAAATCCAACATGTTAAAAGCTAATCCGTGAGTCCTCCTCCTGCATTAGCATCTTCAGATACCAGTCTAACACAAATAATGGACAGTTGAAGGAAGTGAACTTACAATCCATAAAGCTATGATTGAATCGTTCAGCCATCGATTCTCCTCCAAAAGATGGCCAATCACAATACAAAGGCAGAGAAGGGTAACAATGATATTAATTGAAATCACAGAGGCGAACTGAGACGAGGACTCAGACGTTAAAGAGCTGAAATGAGAAGCCAGCGTTATCATCTTCTTCAACCACTTTCTTTTTTTCCCTTTTTCGATTATTTTCTTTTAAGACCTCAAAGATTAATATCTGCGAATCAAATATCTCTCATCTTTCCGGACCCTCCATACCAACAATTCCTGTATCACACCAAACAAAATCTCAGAATCATAAACAGCATTAAATAAAACTTCCTAAAACGGCATCATAAAAACCGCATAAAGATAAAAGATCTAGAAGTGAAACAAGTACACGAAAGGAGTGACACTAAGAGGCAAAATTTTGATTGATTGATAAACATGATACACCAATTTTCTCAACTTCCCGACTTTGTATGTTAAATCAAATTAGGTCGAACTTAAGCACCACAATTGTTTTTTCGTCCCGCTTCCTAGCTATCAGCCACGACGACCTTAACAAACAAAAAAATTTACACTAAGAGTAGAACCGAATGGCTTAACCTGAAGCGCCCCGAGCGATCTTATCACTTTAGAGCTACAAACGAAAGCCGAGACAACGATCCGATCACACAGAAGAAGGAAGATCAAAATTCAGAAATTTCGAGGCCTCGAAGCTATTCCAGTGAAGGTTCGCGTAAGGAGCTATCAACGGAGACGCGACTGAAAACACCGGAAACGAGAGGGATTCTATCACCCGAAGAGAAAGCTAAGGATTCGATTCTCCCGGACAAATTTCACGGTGACTGAGAAATTAACTGGAAATCGAATTTTCAGGAAAAAGAGAGAGTCGTTTGCTTAGAGAGGCAAAGAGGATTCGTAAATTAATGTTTGTTTAATGGGAAGAAGGTAAATCGATTTGGCGGCTTTATA